AGGCGCGGGTCCACATCGCCAAAATTAAAATCCAGGACCCGATTTGACAGAAAGTAAATAAAGGAAAGTGCGAGAAATTAAATTGTCCAAGTTTACAAGGCTTTGGGAGAATTACATTAATATTATAAGAAGTAAAATAGAATGCGCGAATTGGAATTAAAATTGGAAGCGAGGGCGTTGGACCCTTTTTAATGAAATTAAATTAAATTATTAAATTAATGAAATAAAATTAAAATAAAAAGAGAAAAGATTTTTTTTAGTTTTTTGGAGTTGTGAATTTTTAATGAGAAGATTAGCTGAAATTAAAATTGAATTAACCCTAATTCTATAACTTTTATTTATTAAGAAAAAAAATATTAAAGTTAAACCTAAATTAACCTAATTAATTAAAGCAATTTGATTTATAAAAATAATAATAAATAATTAATTATTGGAGATGATGAAATAAAAGAAAAAAAGTAATTAAAATTATTAAATCCTAATTCTACAAGTTTTTTAAGTTTATTGAGAAAAATATTTGAATTAAACCTAATTTAAAAGCTAAAATTAATTAATGATATTTGTTTACAAAAAAAATAACATTAAATAAAAATACTTATTTTTTGTCTTTTTTCTGATTTTTATATTGTTTTTATGTTTTTTATGAAAATATTAATTCAAAGAATTAAAGGAAATTAATCAAAACAAAGAAAAGAAAAATATAAAAAAAGAATAAAAGAAGCAAACCCTAGGGGGTTCTGTCCCCAAATTGGAGGTGTATTCTTAGCATTTTAGGCCCATCTTTGCAAGGCCTTGTCTGAATTTTTGGCTAGCATGTAGCTCCATTGACTAATGCCCAGGGCGTTCTCCCAATCAGTGCCTTTGGATTGATCTTGCTATACGCGTGGCAAACCTGGAGGATGGATGTATGGTGGTCGCTTGCATAGAAACTGCATAGAAGCATTAATAGAAAAATGTTATTGAAAGGGAGGGGGACCTGGGGTTCGAACCCAGGCCCCAGGGGTTACCAACGCGTTCCTTGACCAGTGGAGCTGCTGTATCACTTTGTATATATAATGGCAAATAATTAATAAGAGACAAAACTTGGTTAGTGGCCTAGAAACAATAAAAACGCGCGTTATTTTCAAATCACCCTATCATGTCCTGCCACATAATCATCTTCTTCCTTGTTGCGTTTTCCCTGAAAATATAAAAGGAGTTAGCGGGGGTTTTAAACCCCCCCAAAGTATGCATTTTTCCATAATAGCGAATAGGCCATATGGCCACATAAATTAGGCGTGAGGGGTGTTTCCAAATCGTCCAAGCATGCTGATTTCAACCATGGCCTTGAAGTGTCTCAATTTTATAGTATTCAGAAACGCCCAAATTGAAACTTGAAGAACCCTAGCTGGCTTTAATGGTGAAATCGCGTATGAGTGTGGAAAACTTAATTGAACAACACAGTTAGCTTCAGAATGATGAGAGTAACACAAAACAAGTATTAGAATTCAAAAACATGCCATGAATTATGAAATACGATTTATGCAAAAAAGTGAAAAAGTTTGAGTTCCATTCACCAATTCTGGGCGTGTAAGGGTTGGAAAACTATTCAGTTAGCTTCAGTAATACACGAGGAAGCTTTTGCAATTGGTCTCTTGCTCTGAATCGTGCTAGAATATTGTTTTCAGTTTCCAATTTTTTGGAAAAAAACTCAAACTTTTCTATGCTTTTCTGGCGCAGCTTTGTGGTTATGAACATTAGGGTTGGCATTAGGCTTATGTATGGAATGATTAGGGTTGAAAAATTGATCCAAAAACCCTTTGCATTGATGTAAAAAATATTTGATTTTTATGCATATAATTTTCAATCTTTTTCATGCAAATTTAGTTCCAATCATGTCCAAATCATTTGATTCTTTCCATATCTGATCATGCACGAAATCTTGAGATTATTTTATGCACAAAAAGATTTGATTGCGTTGGTTTGGTATTTTTCATATATTTTAATTAATTAAATGAATTATTAGTAATTAAAAATTCAAATAAATAAATAAAAATGCTGAATAACTTCCCTTTGGGCCAAATGGTCGTGCACATGCTTGGAATGATGAATCTTGGAAGGAAATATGGCCCATTAGCAATTTTAAGGTATTTGAAGCAAAGTTGACTTTTCAAAATATCCAAAAATTTCCCAACTTCCACAAGGCATATCTTGCCCAATGTTTAAGCTTTGCTCATGTTCTTGGACATTTTGGAAAGGCCTTGAAGTCCTCTAACCAATGCCTTTGGTCCCATGTCATTTTGATTTACCAATCTCAAGTTATGGCCTTTGACTTAAAGTCCCTTTTTGTTGACTTTTGAAAATGACCTATAATGTTGAAATTGATAAATTTTTGTGAGAGCATTTCTTAGACTTGAAGTGTGAAGGAGAGTTGTAGGAAATGTCATTATCTTCAAAATGAGCTTTGGATGGAATTTTTCTGATAATCCATGTGGAAGTTATGCCTTGGTCAAGTTACAGTTGACTTTTTCAACTGTCCAAATATGGAAACTTTTGCATCTTGAGACTTTTTGAGCCAAGCTTTGAGAATCATGATCAAGAATTGATCAAATGATGTTTATGGATTCAAAATGAGATGTTGACAAAAAATTTGAACTTTTGACTGTCAAATGACCATTTTGCCCCTGCAGTTGACTGTAAGGCAATTAGGGTTTTCGACTGTGCAATTTTGTGCTGTAAGTCTTGAAACTTGGTATGAGGATACTTGACCATGTTTGTAGGCATGTGGGACTTGATTGGACCCTTGGAAACTTCATTTTATTTGTCAGAACCAAAACCCTAATTTTTGACTGTTAGGAGGCCCTTGAACTGTGCAACCCTTGGGGAGATTTTGAAGCATGCTCCTTGCAATTCTTGAGGAATATGGGAGGGCAAATATTGGGGTACAACAGGGTGTAAGGAAGTTAATTTCGTTGAATTTGAAGTCTGAGAAGAAAGGACTCCAATAAGTTTCTGATAGGAACAATGAATGCATGTTTTTTTTTGTGAATGATTGTATGTATCTATGCCATTTTTATTTTTTATTTTTTATTTCCAGGGAAACCCAAAGACTTATCTATCCATATGTATTCTTCTTACAATATTTATCTTTCAGAAAGCTCAACAAAAGACTCAAATTTAGGATTCCTTGGAAATGGAATGCATATGCTATGATACATTTAGAAATATGATTTCATAGTATGCAATGGGATGGGATCATCGAGAAGTCATTGCCAATTTTTCTTTAAGTTGTATTTATTTGAAACACTAGGGTATAATCAAAATCCTCGAGAAGACATTGGTTGCGGTCTTTGTGGTTGTAATCAAAGTTTTTGAATAGTGGATTAAGTCCTTGTTGATAAGGCAAAATCACTTTGGTGGGTGGACTAGAGGTAGCCTAGTTAATGGTGGATCAGGATAAAATACTTGATTTCTTTACATTGTTAGTCTTATGATGTTTGTCTTTAGGTTAACGAAAAATATTTAAATCTACAAACCTAATTCAAATCCCCCTTTCTTGTGTTTCTTTGAACCTTCAATTGACATCGGAGTTTCGGTTCTGGTATTGATTATTATCAAACACTTAACCGTATTAGATAAAGATCCAGTACTTGAAACATAATGGCACAAGTTCCACTTGCAAATAACAACAATGATAAAAGTCATTTTCTGCTAAGCCACAAGTTTTCAATGGTGATTAGTTTGACTATTGGAAGGATATAATCGAAAATTTCTTTCTTGGTTTTGACGCAGATCTATGGGATATGATAACAAATGGTTACACATATCCTTTAAATGCAAATGGTGTCAAACTTGAAAGAAATGCTATGAGTAATCAATATAAAAATGACAATAAAAATCATCATAGATCAAGAACTATTTTGTTGAATTCTATCTTATACACTGAGTAGATAACAAATAAAGATTTTGTAAAGCCTATATTTGACTGTCTTAGAATAACTCATGAAGGAAACGAGCAGGTCAAAGAAACCAAGGTTCTTGCCTTGATTCAAAAATATGAATCCTTTAGGATGAAAGATAATGAAACTATTGAGAGCATGTTCTCAAGATTTTAGACTCTTATAGCATGGCTGAAAGTTCTAAACAAAGGCTACACTACTGCAAACCATGTCAAAAAGATCATCATAAGTCTTCCAAAGAAATAACGGTCAAAGATGACTACACTAAAGGTGTCGAATAAATAAATAGTACAACTCTGGAAAAACTTATAAGTTTTTTAAGAAGTCATGAAATACAGCTTGAGGAAGATGAGCCTCTAAAGAAATGAAAGTATGTTGCTTTAAAATACAAAGCAAGTCTGAAAAGACTAGAGCTTTTCAAGGTGAAGAAGAAGAATCTGAAGAAGATTTTGATAATGAGGAAGAAGTGCCTTTGTTGTCTAAAATAATTAACCAACTCTGAAAGAAAATACAAAAGAAGTAACTCTGAGTTAGAACAAGTATCAAACTCTGAAGAAGTATTTTCTCATTTATCTTATTCTGAACTCAAAACTTTCTTAGCTGAGATTCTTGAAAAGAATTAAAATCTTAAGAGAAGATGCAAGACCCTGAAAAATATTATTATAACTTATTCTGAAGCATACGGTGAGCTGATGAAAGAAAATATCCTTAAAAGAAAAAATTAATTATTTTGAAAATGAAAATTCAACTCTCAAAAGCCAGAGTAATATTTTAGAAAAAGAAATTCTCATAATACTACTGTTAATTCTGAATATGCTCTAAAGAAGTATGAACATCAAATTAAAACAAACTTACTTTATTTTATTGAAAGAACAAGCCAATACACACATTACAATTTAAATTGCTCCATATTAGAGTTCTTGAACTCTTTATTTATGACATGATGAAATTAACACTTATTCAAACTTTATTACATAATATTATCCACATCAATTTAAATATTTATTTCCCAAAAAGGATTTTATTAATCCACCAAATTCCTTAAATATCTTGAAAAGCTTCTTACTGAGGTGGAGGATTAGTTTGTGGAGTCTTGTGCAATTTCCTCACATCATACCCTTGAAGAACAGCTTTGTAAACAACTTGGCTATAGATTTCATCATTCAAATGATTCTCTCTGCATAGTATCTATAAGAATCAAAATAATGCATGTTATGACATGAAGGAATAGTATAGTATATTATACAGAAAAATATAAACATAAAGTAAAGAAAATAAAAGGTGTTTAGGGTTAGTTACCCAAAGAAATTCCCTAGTAGGTTCACCAATGAGAGCGTAGTGATAATATGGATCAAGGTACAAAATCCAGTAATTTCCAAGGACAGGAATGATTGGCAAGAATGGAGGAACAATGAATTTGACCTTGAGTTTGGCTTCATCGCTATTAGGGTCAGCCTTATAAGCAGTTCCTTCTATGGAGTTTCTTTTCCCATCATTCCATGTCTCGTTGAGAACATGAACAGTTCCATCACTATTTAGAGTGTAGGTGGCTCTAGTGTTCACGCCATTTGCAGGCTGAAAAAATGAAGGGAATGAAGCAATCTCGTACCAACGACCCATGTATCTCTTTAGGTCTACACCCTTCACAACCTCTGGCACTCCTTCTATGTGATATGCCATTGTTTCTTGTAGTTGTTGGTTGTAGAGAGAAGAGATAGATTGATATTTATAGGTAGAAATTGATTGTGAATAAAAGTAATGAATGTGAGAATTGATTGTGAATATACATGGATTCAAAGTCTCATTCAATTATTACCAAAAAAAAAAGAAATCTCATTCAATTAAAAATTCAAAGTAGGGATTCTCAAAAAGATGAATTTTCAAAACAAATTAATAAAAAGAAAAGTAAAACATTTAAAATGCAAAAGATCCCTTTGAGAGCTTTTTAAAAAATATATAATTATACTAAACTATATAGAAAAAAACTATATAATTATAATAAAACTATTACAAAAATATTTCTAGTTTAAAGAATTTTTTTTTCTTCCAAAACAATAGTTCAAAGATCATGTAAAATATATAAAATTCAAAAGATCCCTTAAAAAGCTTTTAAAAAAAATATACTTTAAAAAAAAGCATTAAAAAATTAATTTAAAACATTCTAATTTTTGTTTGAAACAAATAAAATTTAATATTCAATTAAAATTTTAAATTTTAAAGCGAGATTGATATAATCAATGTGAGAATCGAGTGTGAATAAAAGTTATGAATGTGAGAATTGATTTTGAATAAAGTAGGATAAAATTTTTACCATGAATATGCATGGATTCAACGTCTCATTCAATTTAAAATTCAAAGTGCAATTGAGATAAAGATGAATTTTCAAAACAAATTTAAAAAAACTTAAAATAGATGTAAAATATTTAAACGTTCAACAACGTAAAACAATTGATATAGAAAAAAATTATTACAAAAATATTTCTAATTTAACGAATATATATATTTTTAAACCAATAATTCAAAGATCATATAAAATATATAAACTTCAAAAGATCTCTTAAAAAAATCACATAAAATATATATTTTTTAAAAAATAATAAAAAATTAATTTAAAACATTCATTTATATATATATATATATATATATATATATATATATATATATATATATATATATATATATATATATATATATATATATATATATATATATATATATATATATATATATATATATATATATATATATATATATATATATATATATATATTACCAAGGAAGAACCAACAGAGAAATTAACAATAAAACAAAAAAAGTAGAGAAATTAAATTAGACAAGAGTTAAGCAATCTACCAAAATGTTTTATGTAAATTTGGGTTGGAAAGGAGTTATAAAGAGTCAAAATCACCTTAACTTGGTTCGACTTGATAAGAATTAGTTCAGCTTAAAATTCGACTCGAGTTTAACTCAAATTTTTTTAAAGCTTAAACTAGACTTATTTTAAGTTCGTGAACAACTCAGTTCAACTCGTCAGGTTCAACTCGTCTGCTTTAGGGACCCATAAGGAATTTTTTTTAAAAAAATATAATTTTTTATATATATATTTAACATTTAAAATTGTCGCTGGGCAAAAAATACTCGAGCGTACGGACGCTCAAAATTCATCAGAGTTTCCACCGAAGTTTATTTTAAAACGGAAAACATCGATAAAATCCTAAAATAATAAAAATATAGTCATCACAATCAAATTCTGGTTCAAGAGTCGATTACGCGAGGGAAATATATTAGCACCCCTCATAATCGTTTTATTTAACGAGAACCGTTTAATTAGTTTTGAGAATAAGAGTGTTAGTTTACGTTATTTATTTTTTAATAATTGTTGCTATATATTTTCAAAGAGGTATAAGGGACTAAAAATATATTTTTTATTAGGGTGCTTGACAAGATTGAGAGTCTTGCTCCTATATATCCTCAAGTGCGATGATAAATTCAAATCTACGTAGTTCTTAATAGCAAAAAATTCTGGGTTGGTTGCTTTTAGAGAGTGATGCTTAGGTCGCATTGAGTGGTTAAACATTGTTTATTGCTTGCGCTTGGAGGCTGAAGCATTTGTTTGTTTGTTTTGTGTAAAAATGGATAAAGCATCACTTGTTTCTAAAAAGGTTTTCGGTCGCGCTAAGGTGGAAAAGATTATTTGATGAGTTAGATTGTTATCAGGGGATAAGTACTCAACCTTAAACAAGATGTCACATATTGTGTCAGAGCATTCGAGGATAAGATGAATGTTCATCCATTGACCCCTTTTCATCCAATTTTTGAATAAAATATCTTTGGTGGAAGACGAATAGTCAAACTTAAACAAAGTGTGCACCTTGCGTTTGATTATTCAAGGATAAGATTTATGTACATTCATTCATCATTTTTTATTCGAGTTTTGATTAATATTTTTTAGACGGAAGATAAATAATCGACCTCAAAAAGATGTACATCTTAGGTCTGATTATTTTAGGACAAAATGGATGTTCATCCATTAGTCCTTTTTCATCGGAGTTTTAAGAGAAATAAAATTTTTACTAAGGGGGGAATGATTTGATGTTGATCAAGTTGTTAAAAAGATGGTTTGATTTTACTTATTGTATGTTTAGGAAAACACAAAATCACAGTCAGCAACCACGGTAGAAGAGAAGCTACAAAAAGTAGCATCAGAAAATCACGGTCAGAAGGTTCCAAAAGCACGACAGCGGCAGAAAAAAGCAGTTCCAAACATACACTTAATTTGTAAAAAAAAAGAATTGAATTGAAATTTTGAAATGGTCTTAATGGATGTAAAAGACTTGATTATTCACTTGTGAGCATGATTTAATTTGTTAAAAAATGTTTAATCAGACAAAATAATGAATCAGTTGGTTTCTATTAGACAGATCAAATTTATCCACCTTTTATAATATATTTTAAAATATTAATAATTCGTGTCAAAATATTGATGTAACTGTAGCGGTAGAAATATCGATACTAAGTCATTGGATTGACTCGGCTCGCACAGATCAAAATAAAAATCGCCACTGCGTTTTATTGTTTCCAAAGGAACGAGAAAAGAGCGAATAACCCAAAAAAGAGGGGGGAAAGATTCTTGCTAAGGGAGTTGGTTATACAGAGGGAAGATATTAGCACTCTAAGCATCTACGATACTCCGCAAGAACCTCTTTGAAAATCTGTATATTTTGTCTATAAAATGTTGTATTAAAAATAGATTGTGGGGATGAGAAAAGAAATATGTTTTTTATGATTTTTGCACCCGCCGAATCTTTAGTGCCTACGTACCACCTTCCGTGCAATAAGGGATCAGGGTACACGTAGTTCCACTTTAAAAAAATTTAAAACACAAGTGTGTTAGTTAATTTTAGGAGATAAGACATCATTGTCATTGTCCGAGTGGAAAACATACTTACAACCCACAATTATGAGAAAGGAGAATTTGCATCATATCAAAGTGGAGGATATAGCTTGGATTTTAAAATCAATAAAGCCTCACTCAACACTCAAGTGAAAAATATCTCACTTCGCTACATATTGTAGAAGTATAGTTGTTTGCATTACTACAAGGATTGACAAGAGTCTAGTCTTTTGAGAAAAGTTTAAGGATAAAAACCAAAATGGTAAAATAGTTTGAATGAGATTGATTGACTTTTAGTCTTCTCACAAAAATGTCAAAAGTATTATTAAGTTGATTAAAGTTTGATTAAGAAATAATAAATTTTTTGAAAATGCATGGACATAAGTCCAAGTTTATTATGAAAGTGGTTCGAGTTTTAAAACAAGAAGAGTTTCAAAAGGAGGGAGAAGATTTTGAAATTAAAGAAGATGAGAGGAGATGAAGGTACTATCCTAAAGCATAAGTTAAAAGCTTAGGGAAAAGAACCATCTAACCAACAAGAAGCCAACACTTGACATAATGAGTCAATGTAGAATTTCATCCTTTGGATTTGAAACTAGACAAACAATTACAATAACCTCTTAAGAAAACCAAGCTTCAAATGCATTAAGTCTTTACAAAAATTGGACAGAGTAACAGTTGTATACAGATGAATTCCAGATCACAGACAAAGCATGTAATTACAATAACCTGCACACAAAATAAAGAAACAAACAAACTAACAACCCAATATCTTGGGGTAAATCCCAAGAACTCCAGACAAAAACAGTTGAGGTCACAAGGTCTCCAACATAGGTCAAGGTTCCTAATCCTAGGTCCAATAAGTCCATGCCTCCAAAATGCCAAGGATAGTAACCAAATAGTCCAAGTAACATTAAAGTTTTTTTTAGGGTTCAAGTTTATTATTAAGTATCTTCAAAAAGAAATGAAAAGCTCAAGTGAGCAAAATAAAAATGACATAAAAGATAAATGCTCAAATGAGCAAAGATGAAAATAGCATGAAATGTAAATGCTAAAGTAAATGGTACATAAAGTAAAAAAAAAACATAAAGTAAAATCATAAAATAAAGTCAATTGTTAGAAATTAGTAGTTAGTTGAATGATCATCTTGAAACTTGCATTTAGAACTCATTAGAGGATTGGTAGAACCAAAGCCTCTCAACAACAAGTTGCATTTTCTTTTTGTCAAGTATATCATCTATTTAAGAATTATCAAGATAACATTTAATGATCAATGATGTTTAAGTGGTCAATTTTGACAAAAATTGATGAAGATTCATTAGAGGATTGGTAGAACCAAAGCCTCCTAACAATGAATCTCAAGGTTATTAGATCAAAGGGTTCAAATTAACATCCTTGGGCTTACAAACATGGGTTTGGATCACGAATGATCATTTCTCGAATCCAGACAAAACTTGGGGCTATGTTAAGCAATCGTAAGTGGACTTATATAGAAGTAACACTTATTTTGAGGCCGGTCAATAGCAATCTTTGCACCTTATATTTTGAGACATGATATGGAAATTATGCTCCAATAACATTTAGTACAATAAGAATGGGATAAGATGAAGAGGGAAGGGGAAATGTTTGAAATAAAGAATTAACCTAACTATCATTAAAATCATTCATCCATTTTGGTAGAGTTTAACTCAACACCCAAGATCCAATAATGTTAATGAAGTCCATGATCAAAATTCAAAATAGTCAGAATATATACAAAAAAATAAAATAACATTTAAAATAAAAG